AGGGGGGGGGGACTAAATGGATAAATCTAATCAATTACCTTTTAGAAATAATACTGTTGTACATTTTTTTTTTTACCGTAGATGGTCATTTTTTCGAAAAAAGTGTGGGATTCACGATTTTCATGTTCGAATCTCGCCTGATGCGGTCGTGAATTCCACACCTGACTTCATCAGTAGGCTATTGGGAACGCGGTGTTGTATTCATGGTTATTAGGCAGTGTGTTCTCTATTATTAGAGGTCCTGGTATGTTAAAAAATATTTGAAAGCACGAAATACTGTTATAAGACAGATTTTAAAAGACCAATTTAAAACTGAGAATGAAATTACAGACTGAGTGAGACAGAAAGCTTTTCATTATTTTACCACTATAAACATCTCTCACTCTTACATGAATGAGATATTGTAAGTAATTTATGAAATCATACTCCTTCATTTGCGTGCTTTCTCTCTTTCTATCCTTCTTTCTCCAACTGTATGTAAGTGTATTTCCTTTGGGGAGGGGGTGGTGGATGGGTTGAGAACTTGATTTATGTCAAAATTCTATACCCGGTGAATGACTGAGTGATCATCTTTCGTTATCTTACCTTTTTTGTCCCTCTGATCCTGAAAATTACTTTTTGCCGTTTATAAATAGAATAATACTATGGCAGGGAACTGTCTTTTTAAGTTTTTCTTGTCTCTGGACTTAAGAAGACTCTCCCACTCTTCGTTAGAGTTGAGTCGGCAAAGAATTTCTCCTTATGTATATCAGAGGCTTCATACTGCATTAACAGTTTGGTCTTCTTTTTGTCTACCCGACCTGACAGTTTTGTGAACTGCTATTTTGGCCAAATCATGGAGAAAAATGTGGTCCACAAATTTCCCTTTATAGAGACTTCGTTGATAAAATTTTAAAAAATTGCAATTCTGAAAATGTCTTTTATTTAAAGCCGCCGCTCAATGACGCCGTCATACTTTCTACTTGCGTATGAGTGTGGCCTCTAATAAGATTTTGTATTTAATTTCGGTGTTTGCTTTAGTGGAAAAGGCACCCACGGCATTAGAAATAAATGCAATGTTGTGCTGATACACACACACTTACACGCACAAAAACACCCCCCTCCCCCCCACACACACGCACACACCCTTTGCTGTATAATAAAATAATATATTGTTATAACCCTCTACGCATTTGTGCACGTTTAAAAAAAAGTCCATCAAACAACTTGTGAATTCATTTGCAATCAAACCACCTTGTGCATTTTGTCATAAATAATAGATGGCACCATACGAGGTTGCATTGAAGATTATGTGCGTGTTTCTGTAACAAGATCTGGATGAATTAATAGACAATGACAAAAGTACACCCTGAAGGTTCAGGCAAATCATCACACGATCTTCTTGCCAAAGAGCAGGTTTTATCCATTGCGTGCCCTTTCTTTGTCATGTTCTTTTCTGACATGTGATATTCCCACCTAGTCTGGTTGACGCTGTCAAGACTCAAACCTAACGCACAATTCACATTGATCTTTTTTGACTCATAGATCGATATGATCTTTTCATCTAGCACATATTGTTTGAGTAGCCTGACATACAAGGCAGATTGTCTCTGACCAGTGCAGGCGGTTTCAAGCTCCGACAGATTACAGAATCAGGGATCAAGATACAGTTTTCCAGAGCTTTGCTGGCAATAGTGAGTGGGAACCTTCAGAAGCATGTCCACAGATGTGAACAGAAACTCCGTGGCTTGCACGCCCCTTGTGGATTGTTTGGTGGTGCAGCTGGGCTGAGCTCTTCTAAAGCACTCTTTACAAAGTTCTGGAGGGTCCAGGTTGTCATCAACAAGTGTCTGAGGAAGTTCCTCAGGATCAGAAGGACAGACAGAGTCACCAATGAGGAAGTAATGACCAGAAAATTTTCAGACAGAAGAAAACAGTGGAGATGGATTGGACTGAGCATACCAGCTACATAACCAAAAAGTTTTATTTTGGAGTCAACAGCTTAAACGATCAAGGGAAGACCACGTGGAACCTGTAGATAAGTCGCAGAGAATGATGAACAGAAAACTGGAAAGAAATTTGAAAAATATGAAGAAGTTAGCCAAGGGTAGGGAATAGTGGAAAGTGTTTGTCCGTTCGGGGTGAGCCAGGCGATGATGAAACTGGCATGGGCTGGCTTTTCTAGAACAATTTACAATGGGTGAGCCCGGTCATAGATATCAACAACCTGCAAACTTTAATCTTGTGGTCATTCTGTTTGAGATAATAAACCCAAGTGTGCATCTTTCAGCTTGGTGTATCGCCTTTGCTTAAATTGTACTCTTTCGAGTTGAGAATACCGTTTACGTAGGACTTTCTGTCTCCCCGTGTCAAAGTTCAAACAAAGACAAAGATAGTTGTTCTGGTGTTGTCTTTTAATAGTGAGTAGTCCATTGATTTAGTTGAGCAATCTCATCTGGGTTTCAGTTCATTAGTTTTAAAAAAATACTCCTATCTCTTGATTTGCATTGCTTATTGCTGCCCCCCCTCTCTCTCTCTCTCTCTCTCTCTCTCTCTCT